TTTTTGCAATAAGTAACATTTTGCTTCCTTCTGCAAAAACAGGCACTTGGAAACTTGAATTTGCAAAATGTGATGAAAAATGCACGAGAGAATAAAAAAAAGTAACATTCGTTAAATAGTTCAATAATTTTCAACTGTTAAAATTGTAGTAGAAAATACCACGTGGGACTCTCTGCAATTTTGCAGAAATGCATTTGCTGAAAAATCCATTTTCCTTTATGAATTTGAGGCGATTTTTTTTTTCTTCTGAATTTCTATTTGTTCAAAAGTTTTCTCAATTTTAAGTGCTGTTTCAGCTTTTTTTTTCCATTTTTCTTTGCTTTAAGCAATGAATATTGTTTTAGAAAAAAAAGTTTCCCCTGGAGATCTTAATTTTATCTTTTCTTGATGTAAACTTTAATAAGAAAATAAATATAATAAAAGCGTGATTGGTTAGATGTTGCCAGGCATACATTTTAGCATTTTTATTGAACTTTTTAGGCTATATAAAAGTCTCAAGAGAAGAAAAAAAGTTTCCTATTTGAATTGTTATATGAATTAAAGTAATCGTTATACATATTATTATGTGCGCATGCTATATATTTTTAGCAAGTAAAATTATTTCTTATCTTGCAACTCATTCTGTATTCTTGAAGTATAATTTTTTTCTCAAGTACAGTTGATAATTTTTTAAATCTAGGTATCTATTCATTTCGTTGTAACTAACATGTTAATAAACTGCGTTTGCATAAATTTATAATAATTATATAGTTTATAAACAAAATTATATTTTTTTATCGACTTTTAAGGGGAAAAAATAACAATGATGAAGGATAAACAACCACGGGTATTGAAGATTGGAGCCTCTTAAATTAACAAAAAAAAAAAAAATACATTTAGTTTAAATTTTACCAATGAGTACTTGATCAACATCCAATCATACTTCTTCATGAGCATAATTTAGAATTGGTGTTAAAAATAAAATAAATGCTGCAAATGACCATTCATTTTCAGCGTATTTATAATTATTATCATAACCGACAGGAACATGGTGGTCATTAAATATATCTTTACAACAGTAAGTCTTGTTTTTCAAATTCTAATAATACTTCTATTTTATATTATATAAAATCTAATTATTCGAATTTCGTACAATATTCATTGGTTTGGTGTAATTTTATAAACTTCTGTCTGTATAAATAATTACAAATGTTTATTTGCGTTACAATTGGGTTTTTGCACTTTAGGAAGAAGACTTCCCATATCCCACACATGTGAGCTATGACGTCAACAAAATGGCGCATTAAAAATGAGCAAAGTTTCTCTATACATAAGTTAGAATGTAAATTATCGTTAAATTAATTAAATACAAAGCTGTATCACACATCGAATTTGTTGAAATATAATTCTTTCTCGTCAACTTTTTTTACTTAACTTAGATTTATTGTTTGTTTATGTATTTCATTCTAACCATGATATATTTTTGTTTTAAGTTTCTGAGTACCTGGCAAACTTCTATGCATACTTAGTTTGTTTATGTTCTACATGGCTTCGTGCCAGTCTTTTTGTTAAGTCTCTGTGTAAATATATAGTTAAAGAATTGAAATCTCTGTAAAAAAATTTAGAAAGTGTCACATAAAAGAGTTGATAATTGAAAGGCTTGGCTTATTCGAAATAAAGTAGAAATAACAGTTGCTATCATAAATGCCACGTTTAAACAACTAATAAGGATCGAGATTCCCACATTACGTCACTTGCTAGTAAGCTATTGCTAATATACGGTAATATCGACGAAGTATAGAATACAAATAATACAAAATTCAGTGATGTACTTCATTCGCAGTATATATAAATAAGACAAAGTTTACATCTTCATTTTTACCTCGATAAGGGCTGTTATGTTTAAAACACTTGCTTAAAATACTGGAATTTAAATATGTTGACATTAAATGCAAAACATATATGTGCATTTTCTTAAACAACACAATTTTGCTTGTATCTGTGATGTTTTGAAAGAAAAATATGTTGAAACGTCTGAATCTAAAAAAAAATGTATTGGTACAAACACTGTGTTATTACACTCCCCTGCCAGAATTTTTATCTGTGATAGAATTCGATGAATGAAAACCACTTGTCGATTAATGCTGTTTTATTTATTAATTGATTTTTTAATTTATATTATTTCGCCCATTAGTATTTTTTTTCCTTCATTTTTATTTATAAGGCGGGAGAAACTTATTTACTTCACCGAATTTTCGACTGCTATTTTGTGTGCAAATCAACTGCGTAATGGGACCATCTATCGATGTTGCCAAGTTCGTATCACGTCTGGAGGTCACCAATGTGGGGAGTTTATTATCGACTATGTCATCTCTCAATTCTCAAAAGGTACCTCTATATAGAATTGAGTTAACAAGTCTTTGCTACTGAATTGTTTTTTTCACATTTCTTATTGCATTAGGTATTGGTGTACTGATATTTTACGAAATTTATTTCTAATAAATACCTGGTATACATCACTAACAAAATATACGTATTTGTTTTTTAAACTAATGAGTTTAATTATAAATTTATGTCACAAATTATAATTCATTCCGGTAATTAATAAAAGTTCTTAGGATTCATGGGGCATTTGATTAAAAAGTATTTTATGTCATAAAAGAAAATAAATGTATCTTTATTTTGATTGGTAACAGGAACAGGTAAGATATAAATGCATAACACGAGCAACGTGAATAACATGAAAAATAGCATAACGTGTTGCTTTTACACTCTTCCAACATAACCATGTGTAAAAAGACTAAAAAGTTTTGAGAAAAAATCTATTTTAATACTTACATACCTGCATAAGCTATTTTATTTAAAATAAATATTAAATGTTGAATTCTCTTCTCAAGTACTGGAAGTAACTGCATCGGAAGTTTTACAAAAGATAAAAATGTTTTATTAAAAAACTACACTTCTGATGTTTCAGGATTGAAAAAATTGTTTTAAGCATTTAGTTTTCCAAACAGCAAAAAAAAAAAAAAANAAAAAAAAAAAAAAAAAAAAAAAAAAAAAAAAATCGAAGGGCTGTAAAATATGCAATAATCGTAGCTTTTAAGTAATACGTTTTTATATTTTCCAAAAAAGCATGTTTTGCAAAAAGAAAAAAATGTTCTTAAAAATAGCAATTAATAAAAATAAATGATAAGCGTGAGCAATTTGTGCAGCAGTTATTCTTTTTTGAAAAAAAGTTTTGAAGTTTTTTAAAAAAGTGCCTAAAACTAGATTTTCTTAAAAATGTTATATTTTCCTGAACTCGTCGCAATCGCTGATATATTCAAACTTTGATGACGCAAATGTTATTAAATCCACAAATCAATAATTATGTACTATTTACATTATAACTCTTATGAAATTGAACTTATATATCTTATTTATGAAATATTTTAAGATATCACTTTTGACTTTAAATTCATATTCAATCATTGAAGGCAATAAAGTAGTTTGCATTTTACTTCTTATTAAAAAATTGATATATTATTATAATATATTTACTTACAATGCAATTAATCATTGTATTTCTTACAATATTTTGAAACCTAGTCGCAATGGCTGATAAATAACAATTTTGATGACGTGTTAAAATAAATCAACAAATGAAAATTAGCAATGTATTCATAAACTATAAAAAAACGAACTGGCAATCCCGATTGCAATAAAATAATGACTTATTTTACCAAAATTGAATGTATATTTTAAAATATCACCTATGACTCTGAAGTTCAAATTCAATAGCTAAATGCAATTATGTTTACTTCTTGCTAAAAAATTAAAATATTATTATAATATATTTAGTACTTACAATACAAATAATCTAGTTGTATTTCTTAAAATTTTCTGAAAACCAGTCGCAATGGCTGATATATAAAAATGCTGATGACATTTGTGTAATTCAGCAAATGCAGATTCGTAATGTATTCATAAACTATTAAAATATGAATTGGCATTCCCAATTGTAATAAAATAATGACTTATTTAAAGAAATTTTTTGTAAAATAATTATATAATCTGCATTATACCTGCATTTTAATAAAAAAACTTTAGCTTCCGTTTCTTACTTTTTTTCTTAACCTGGTCTCAATAGCTAGCATATGAAAATAGAGATGAAGGGAACGTATATAAATTAATGATTTCAGATTTATGACCTATTCATAAACCGCGTGTATATACATATATATGCATATACATACATACATATACATACGCGCACACACACACACACACATATATATATATATATATATTGAATACTACTTTAAATACTTAGCTCCTAACATCTTAATGTTCACACATATAACATTAAAGGTACTTTTAGTTTAAAAAAGAGCGATATTGCAAATTTTTGCAGAGTCGTAGGTTGTATTATCATAAGAAAGCAATTTTTTTTTCAATTTAATTAGGGCTCGGACGCGTGCATGTTCGGATACATATGCCCATTTTATTTAATTTATAATTAATTTATTTTATAATCAATGTTTAACAGCCAATTTAATTCTGAGTCTACGACTATCACAGCTGAACTCCATAGTCTTCTAACTATATAACCTAACCTCATGTGCGTTACATGGACAGGAAAACCACGAAAACCTCACCTGGAGAAACAACATTTCCGATTTATAGAAAAAAAAAAAAAAAAAAAAAAAAAAAAAAAAAAAAAAAAAAAAAAAAAAAAAAAAAAAAAAAANAAAAAAAAAAAAAAAAAAAAAAAAAAAAAAAAAAAAAAAACGAAAAATTCTCTTTTTTTAAAGCTTTTTTGAAAATACTCTTTTTTCTCCTTTATATATATAAAAATATGAAACATTTCCGATTTATAAAAAAATACGAAAAATGGTCTTTTTTCCAAAGTTAATAAGGAAATACTTATCTAATTCGCTTTTAAATCCAATAAATTTTATTACCGAAAATAAATCTTCACATTAAAAATTATTTATAAGTATTTTATAATAATTCAACTATATATATTCAACTATACTTACCATTATCCTTTCCAATAGCATAACTTTCCATCCTAACAGTTATATGCACCTACTACGTTAGTACCTACTACTCACGTTACTCTGAATACACTGAACTATATTTCTTTTCCTGAGGAACCTTGCCCTCATTAGACTAACCCCAGTGCACCTATTCATCAATATCGAATACGAATTGTTCACTTCCCTGAATAGCCACATCCTTACTAACTCTCAAATGAATGGTTTCTTATCTACCTTTTCTATTCATGCATTCCAAAGCAACAATATTTACTTACTAGTAAAATCGATGCATAGATCGATGACAGATACGGTTCGTCACAAACTTATTCCCCCCAAAATGAACAAAGGGCATTGTAAGGAGTGTTACAAAGGAACACCTGCTACTAAATGATGGTGAAGATGACCCACCTAACACGCTCAAAATGTTTCCCCCACAGAGTTACAGAGGCTATAGGGTTATACTTTTTAAGGGTATGTTCTGAATGCAAAGTCATAAACTTCGTCCGATCTAATATTTTAAAATTAGTTGCATTATTTATATTGTAATTAACTAATTGTAACTATTTAAATTATTTCCGTTATTTATGACTATGATTTAAGTATTACATTCACAGCAACAAATTAGTTAACAAAAAATGATTTATCAATCGAAAACAAATTAAAAAGAAAAAAGTGCATTAACATTTAATTAATTTTAAAATTGTACTCCTTTAAATTTGTTAATGTTGAGCAAGACATTTTGTAGATGCATTCTAATCATAATGACATGAAATGGTTTTTCGCTCTGCAAAAACATATTGAATCAGGAATAATTTGTGATTTACATATTGATTCTGACATAGATTTGAATTTAATCATGAANTCCAAAGTTAATAAGGAAATACTTATCTAATTCGCTTTTAAATCCAATAAATTTTATTACCGAAAATAAATCTTCACATTAAAAATTATTTATAAGTATTTTATAATAATTCAACTATATATATTCAACTATACTTACCATTATCCTTTCCAATAGCATAACTTTCCATCCTAACAGTTATATGCACCTACTACGTTAGTACCTACTACTCACGTTACTCTGAATACACTGAACTATATTTCTTTTCCTGAGGAACCTGCTCTCATTAGACTAACCCCAGTGCACCCATTCATCAATATCGAATACGAATTGTTCACTTCCCTGAATAGCCACACCCTTACTAACTCTCAAATGAATGGTTTCTTATCTACCTTTTCTATTGATGCATTCCAAAGCAACAATATTTACTTACTAGTAAAATCGATGAAGTCAGTCAGGGTGGTCCTTTTTTTTGCTCACTGTAATGTTACTAATTTACGACATCTCACAGAGGAAATTTGACTAGGAAAATAAAAAAGCTCTTCATGTTGCCTATTCTTGTCCCCCCATGTCCGCAGTAGCCTATTTTTCCTCTAAATATAATGCTAAACATAAAATACGAATTTTATAAACCTCTAGGTCTTTTCAAGACAAACCATTATAAAAATGAAAATTGTTTATTAGTTTCAAATCTAAAAATTTCAACTCCCGTTATGAAAAAAGAAGGAAATTATAGACTTTTTTTTTATCGGGACATATACCCACATTTTAAGAAGTCACAACTGAAAAAATATACGGAAATTTTTTCTCTACATTCATTGATTAAAAAAGTAATACTCGAATACGCCATCTGGGGAGAGATTGGTTTCATGCCTTTAGCCCTTCCCTCTTCTCCTCTTTTCAGTTGTATAGGAATGTACTACGATAATTTCCCTTTTCTTAATATTTTTCCCTTTTATTTAATAAAAATATTTTTTAAAATTTCTATGATACTTTTCTTTAGAACTATGTTTAATGTAGTTTTCAGTTCCATATAGTTTTTCAAGCTAAAAGATTTTAATCTATGTGAAAATCAAGAGAGAAACTAACGTACTTCCTTCCTCTATGACTTTCCACACGCTAATGGAGAAAGCATGTGAAGTGTTGCCATAGGAAAAGAGTTCTGCTCTACGCCACCTGCAGCCCATTTCGATCGCCAATTTGGACAAGGTTCTATAAAAAAAGGTTTATTTTGAAAATAATTCGTTCTTGAACATTTGGCCTATTCGCGATCGCAACGCTCGAGTACGCCATCTAGTGGGAGACTGAAAATATCGGACATTAGTTCCCACAAAGCCATTGGCAATGACGGAAGCAATTTCATTAGCAGCAAATAAGAAGCAAAATTTCCCTAAGGAAAAGGTAGAACTTCTTGAAAAAACTAACTAGAACATGCCAAACATTGAAGCGGAACACGCCAAGCATTTGAAGAACAATTTCTCAATTCTCAATAATTTTTACCTTTCTATTACCAACAATATAACTTCCAATTTCATG